AAGCTTGTCATTGCTCTTGAAGAATTATGAGATATTCCGACTTACAGGAACTAGTAAAGTCTGTTTCCTCTGTCTACCTACAATTGAATGCACAGCGCAAGATGAGCGATAAGAAACTCAGCGTTGTACCGGAAGCCGATGAACAGGTTCGTTCGTTTCTGTTCCTTTTATATTTCCACGTGTCTCAACCAAACAAAGAAATTCACCATTTGCGAACTACGTTCTTCTATCGTTCCACGTTGTTCTATTCACTTCATATAGGAAAGAGCGACCTATGCGTTGTTTCTTTAATTCAATCATATCGGAGGGGAGAGATTGAATTCAAATTTTGAGCTGTACAATTTTGATGAAGCGTCCAAACACTTCTGACAGCGAATACCTAGGGTTACCTACACTGTTCGGAGGTCCTAAATAAGGTGTTGCCCACCTGATATGGCTCTTTCGTCTTCGATAAATTCATCACTGAACTCTCGCCCGATACCGTACATTCCGCCGAGACCGCGTCCATGTACGGTACGGGCACGGGTTTGATTTGAGCTGCTCATCCACGAATAAATCTTATGAGGTGCTACTTGGAAACATCATGGTCATAGCATCCCAATCATTATCAGCGTAGTAGGTCTTGCACCCAAGTTCGCTTCTACAATGTTTCAAAGTGGTTATGTAAAAGCTTTCGGAGTCGAATTGTCAAAGGGAATTTCAAGAAGTTTTGGAGTGATTATCAAAATGAAAGCTTTGGTTTGAAAGTTTTTAGTTAACTACTAGGGCTCCATAATGTAACTTTACTTGGTTTTTCTGATTTTCAATATTTTCAGCTTACGGTGCAATCGACTATTCATTCGATGCGACCATCAATTCTTCGTGCTCCATCGCAGCCCAATGGCGAAAAGAAGTTGGACATTGCCGAAATGGTCTGAGGTGCAATTGATGGCAAGAAATCTATTCTGAACAGAACTGCAATCCTGAATATGAGGATTACACTCAAGTGCCTGATATCACAAAAGTTCATCATCGGAAAAGAAAGATTACCAAACTATTATATGACCGTCATTAGTCTGTTAGCACTCAAGTGTCTTTCTCATTTTATTCTTGCAAAACCAGCTTTAATTTACATATGCAGTACTGGCCTGTCGTCTGCGGAAAAGGCAGAAAATCACGTGGTTGCAGAAAAAAGTAACTATCTCTGAAGTGATTATTTCGAAATGGAAATGTTCGGAAAGATTTTTTGTTTTTAAGTTATAGTTTCATTCCTGGTAGAAAGAAACAATTATCCTGAAGGATATCACGTTAATGCGACGTGAAATTAGTCATTTCTGCAGAAAACAGTATAGTTTGCTTACAACTTGGCTTCCGAAACAAATGTTGTAAATTGCCTCCTCATCCAATTTTCCTACATTTTTGAGAGGCTTTACTCAGGCAACACGGGTACTTGGGTTTTTGAATGATTGAGAGGCCTTAGGTATGACGTCCAAGCTGCGATTTCTATGGATCTTTTGTTGCTGAGAAATCCACCTCTGAGCTGTCACCCAGACCGTAATCTTCGAGCGGATCAATCAGAACTCTCGGGCATGGCAGAAAGTACGGTATGGGCTGGGGTCCACTGTTGAATTCCTTGACCACGAGCGAATTATATGAGTTGAAACTTGGGCAATAGTTAGTTGAAGCCTCCCAGTCAGTTTTCGTAGTGATACCAAGTACCTTAGCTGGGCATTACCTCTACGCAGAACTTTGTATGTACATAATCAAATCATTGAACTCTGTTACTACGTTATTTTCATTTTACCCTGGTTACCGCGTAGGATCCACAGTTAACCTATAAGATTCGCATCTTCGCATCTGCCTCCTCTTTAGGCGCTTTCTCCAGATTCTCAGAAAAAAACCTTCACCTCTTCCCAGCTAGTAGCGTTGTCTAAACGGAATTTATTATCTGCTACTCCTGAAATACTGGTCCTTGATTGTCAATTATAAATTGCGAGGTTTTACCCCCTTTCCCTCATTGCTTTGGCATCGACCCAACTCAGCTACTAGGCTAATATTTTCGGTGCTTCTATCATATTTGTTTGTTTGCGAGAATTATGTTACATATTGATGTTCATTATCTTTATATTTATCACAGGGTAA